CCGGCCTCCTGCCGCTAGAGGTATCAACCCCCGAGGTACCTGAACCTGAAAATGTGCCCCAACATGGGGTGTGATCTCTAAAAAGAAATCTCAGTAAGACAAGGGGTCCTCAAGGATCTCTCCACCCCGAGCTCACTTACATGTGCAATATAAGTTCCAAAACAGTATAATAATATCATTTCCAAAATCTGTGCAATGCAGCATATATCCATGTCATGTGTGTAAGAATCCTACTAGCCAGAGAACAAAATGTAGGGATTACATACTTCTACAACCTACATTACATGAAACACCGCTTGTACCTCACCCACGGGTTCACCATCTTGTATGTCGCCACATACTCAGACTTACCGTCTAGGTGGAACACCACATGTATATCATATGGCACTTGCACTTAATCAAACAGCTCAATAGCATTTCAATATTCATCAGATAATTTCATAAAAACACATCATGCATATAACCATCCCTCCATGAGGTATGGTGGAACCAACAATGGGCAAAACCGAGAACACTAAAGCTTACCTCTCAAGCTATCAACCCAACAACGAGTCCACACCAGCCCACGTCACCAAACAACCCATGGAATTTTTGTGAAGGAAGCAAGAGAAAATGTGGTCTCTTGGAGCTTTAATGGAGGGGAAAAGGTGGAGGAAGGTGGCTACCACCAAAGGCTCAGAAAACTCACGTAGAGAGTGAAGAAAACTGACCTAGGGTTTTGTGCCCTAGGTATTTATAGTTCACTTAAGTTTGATCTCACTGTATTAGCACTATTATCTACGCTTATCATTTTAATCTCAAACTTCATATTCTGAACCTAGCCATTTTTCTAAGATTTATCATATTTTTATTATAATTTTTCGCAACACTTTCTCGGTACGCGTTTACACGCAGTTAGTATAAGTTCTGACGTCAGTTCTCATTATTTCGACTTTCACCGGCACACACTTATACCGTGAAGCAGAACTGATATCTGTACTATTCGTCATAAAGGCGACTTTCAGCCTTCTTAAGCCCTTATATTAATTATTTATGTCTTCTCATAATTATTCTAGGTCAATTAAGGAATTATCTCCTAATTTCATAATTAAATCATTTAAATTGCTAATTTAACGGTGCGGGTTCTTACATTCACCCTACATTTTAAGAATTTTGTCCGCAAAATTAGAGACATAGCTATCCCTAAACTCGGAGTATTGCCGGAGAAGCTCATCCTCCCGCTCCCAAGTACACTCCTTTAGAGTCCTCCCTTCCCATTGCACTTTGACCATGAGAATGACCTTACTTCTCAGTTTCTTCTCAGCACGATCAAGTATCTTAAGTGGTTCAACGAGAGTCTTTAAGTTCTCCCGAACCTTCACACCATCAGGTTGCACCACGTGCAAAGCGTCTGCTATATATCTCATAAGCTGAGACACGTGAAACACGTCGTGGATGTTGGCCAAGTTCGGAGGCAAGACAAGCCGGTAGGCAACAGACCCTACCCTACCAAGAATCTGGTATGGCCCTATGAATCTAGGGCTAAGCTTCTCACTACGAGGGCTCGACCAACACCAGTGACAGGTGAAAGTCTCACAAACACATGTTCACCCTCACTGAACTCTAGCGGCTGATGCTTGTTGTCGTAGTAACTCTTCTGGCGATTCTACGCCTGCTTCATCTTTTTTCTGATCATCTGTATCTGCTGGGTGGTCTCTTGGACAAAGTCCAAGCCAAATAAATCTCTATCTCCAACCTTAGACCAACAGGTAGGAGTCCGACACCTCCTACCATACAACGCCTCGTAGGGTGCCATGCCCAGGCTAGCATGAAAGCTGTTATTGTACGAAAACTCAATCAATGGCAGGTACCGATCCCATGCTGAGCCCTGCTCCAAGGTGCAAGCTCTCAACATGTTCTCCAAAGTCTGGATGGTCCACTCAGTCTGTCCATCAGTTTGAGGGTGATAGGTTGTACTCAATCTCAACTGCGTACCAAAAGCTCCCTGCAGCGCCTCCTAGAATCGAGATGTGAACTTCGGGTCTCTATCACTAATGATACTCTCGGGCACCCTGTGAAACCTCACAATCTCGCGAACTTATAGTCTAGCCAACTGCTCAGTAGTGAAGCTCACCTTTACCGGAATAAAATGAGCAGACTTTGTCAATCTGTCCACAATGACCCAAATAGAGTCATAGCCAGCCTGAGTCTTAGGCAATCCCACCACGAAGTCCATGGAAATGCTCTCCCATTTCAACTGCGGAATCTCAAGATGTTGAAGCTTACTAGACGGATTCTGGTGTTCTATCTTCACTTTCTAGCATATCAAACACTTGGACACATAAACAACTATGTCTTTCTTCATGCCCGACCACCATAAATTTCTCTTCAAGTCTTGGTACATCTTTGTAGCACCAGGGTGGACAATGAATTGACCCTTATAAGCCTCTGTCATCACCTCCTCAGTCAAAAGACCTCGAGGAATTACAATCCTCTTTTGGAACATCAATAATCCATCCTCATTCCAAGACACACCATCTTGGTTCTTCACATAGTCAAGGAACTCTCTTTGCACTTGCGCCTCTTTAATCTTCTTCATTTATTCACTTTCAACTCTCACAGTCTCCATCTCGAGAAGTGCACCCCAAACAAAGAGATCAATGTCAAATCTCAAAACTTCTCAATTACATCATAGTTACCTATCATCCAACTGGATGGACTCACGAATTTCTGACTTAAAGCATCAGCTACCACATTGGCCTTGCCCGGGTGGTACTTCAACACAAAGTCGTAGTCCTTCAGAAATTCCATCCATCTTCTTTATCTTATGTTCAGCTCCTTCTGATAAAACAGGTACTTCAGACTCTTGTGGTCACTGAACACGACAAACTTCATTCCATAAAGGTAGTCCCTCCAAATCTTGAAGGCAAAAACAATCGCAGCCAACTTCAAATCATGAGTCCGGTAATTCTCCTTTAGAGGCTTCAACTGCCTCGAAGCATAAGCAATCACTCTGCCAGTTTGCATCAACACACAACCCAGCCCCTTCCCAGAGGCATCACAATACAGCTCAATCTGATCAGCAGGATCAGGAAGGACCAACACTGGTGCGGTGGTCAGTCTCTCCTTCAACTCTTGAAAGCACTCCTCACACTCGTGAGTCCACACAAATGGAGTCTCCTTCCGGGTAAGGCGAGTCAATGGAAAAACCATCTTGGAGAATCCCTCAATGAACGTCTTATAGTAACCTTCCAAACCCAAGAAGCTCCTAACTTCAGTAACGGTTTTGGGTCTCTTCCATTCCAAAACAGCCTCAATCTTGAGTCAAAATTCAAACTTTGAAGGCTTTGCATAAAGATTTTTCTCCTTCAGAACCTGTAACACAATCCTTAAGTGCTCTGCATGCTCCTCCTCCGTCTTAGAGTAAATCAAGATATCATCGATGAAGACAATCACAAACTAATCCAAATACGGTTCATGTAATCCATGAACACTGCGGGTGCATTGGTGAATCCAAACGGGATCACCAAAATTCATAATGACCGTATCTCGAACGAAACACGGTCGTAGGGACATCCTCCGTCTTAACCCAAATCTGATGGTATCCGGGCCGGAGATCAATCTTCAAATACACGCAAGCACCCCTAAGTTGATCCAACAGATCATCAATACGAGGGAGGGGATACTTGTTCTTGATTTTCACCTTGTTCAGTTGTCTGTAGTCGGTGCACAATCGCATAGTCTCATCCTTCTTCTTAACAAAAATGATCGGTGATCCCTATGGAGACACATTCGGTCGAATGAAGTCTTTCGTCGAAAGATCCTCAATATGCTTCTTCAGCTCTACCAACTCTGGTGAAGACATCCGATATGGAGCTAATGAAATAGGCCCTACACCAGGCAACAAATCAATGGAGAACTCTATCTCCCTCTGTGGCAGAAACTCAAGAATATCCTCAGGAAACACCTCAAGCAATTCCCTCACCACAGGAATGCCGGTAACATCCTCTTGTGTTCCACTTACCAAACCTCCCAACATGACATAACCAAATGCTCCTACTCTCAAGGCTCTACTTGTCTGCAGTACTGAGATGTAAGGAGAAGAACTGGCAGTGGAATCACACGGAGACATCACCACTTTCTTAGCACAACAGTCAATCATCACACAATTCTTGGACAACCAGTCCATGCCAAGGATGATCTCCAAATTAGCCATCGGTGTAACACCCGCTCTTGTACGCGTCCAAGAGGAATGTTATCTCAATACTATTAGAGTGGTTTGTGACATTTTCTTTTACCTATAGTCAATCCGGAATGATAAGAATTGAACTGACGCATAAAAGGACTGAAAACAGCGACCAAAAGTTTTAAAATGTTTGCAAACATCAAGAAGTCCTCTTCTGGAAAACAGTCTGTCTTGTACGATTTTTATAAAATTCTACAGAGCTCTAAAAATCATTATTCTTCTTCTAAATTAAAGTAGACATCTCAAGCTTTAATTACGTATAAAGTTTGTTTAAAACGGACATATGTAGCCACGGGAAATTAATTTTGAAACTGCCCAACAGTGCAGGATTTTTCAGCGTTTTTCAGAAACGACCGTTACTCAAAAATTCGTATAAAATCGCGATGTGGTGCAAATCTGGGTTTTCCTTTTTTGTTCAATAACTAGCATCTGTACCTAAAAGAATTTACTGTTTCCTGAAAATTTGAAGACCTATAGAACATGATAACTTGGTTAGAAAACAGACGTTCATAAGTGCTAAAAACAGAAAGCGTTTAAAATAATAACGAGCTCTTGTTGAGAGGCATATTATCATCTACTCCTCCTAGGCTCTCAAAATCTCCAGCAACTTAAACTGAAAACCTCCCCTCAAAATATATAGAACAATAAGTTCAGGTGTTCATCACAACTTGCATCACATAAAGTTCACAATCAAAATAGAAACAGCGAACCAACTAGCTCATCGCGTCACCAAGTAAAGCACATAGGGCAGCAGCTCCACAAGATCGAACGAGGTAATACCACAAACAATAAAATACAGCCATTACATAAGTTATAGATTCATTTATCCCCTTTTTCTACGCTTTTCCTTCCACCTGCATTTTCATAGAAAATGAGCCCCCAAAGGGGTGAGAATAATCCCAGCAATGCGGAAATTCATCCAATAATGCAACAGTATGGGTTTAAACAAAGACTTATCAAAATGTAACACATGGGTTAGATGTTAGTCAAGGTGCGTATATAACGCCAAAACGCATGTCCATAGCACTAGAGTGCACATGCTACAAAATACCAAGGGAGATTTGTGTGGCCCAACAAGGTGAATTCCCAATGGTCCTATGCGCACGGAGCCAAGGTGCTATTGCCGGGTACCTTCGACATGCCTAAATGATGCTTGCTCAAGCAGATGATTATTTTCGAAAATGTTTTCCCAATATGCTTCTCAAACCGTGAGGACCATGATGCATGCAACAAGATAAAATGCCTTTCACACAATTAATTTAAAGAGTCAATGAATGCAGTGCACATGCATGTCAAAACTCATATCCATATTTATAGTCCCATAACTATAATAATCAAAACAGATTGTGCCAACAAGTAAGATCATAGCTTCACAAAGCGCAAAAATTAAATGAAGCACACATGTCACATATAAGTATTTCATTACTTAAATTCCATAGTCACAAGAGGTTAAATCACCAAGCACTTACATTCCTTGAGGTACTTAACCAAATAAACCTCCAAATTAATTTGTTCTCCTTGAGGCTTGGGAACCTATACGTCATACATCAAAACAGAGCAATTAACATTCCATAGACATAAAGGTTGACGGTTTTTAAGTCCCCCTCTAAGCTCTTTTTACTTCAATAGTCTAAGAATCATTTCCTAACTTATACTAGTTCTTCCATCATTTTTATTATGCATGCAAGGGTGTCATCTAAACGCGGTTGTTTAATAAATTTTATAGTTACACGCAAGGCCTTTAAATTTCGTTTTCTTTTAGATAGAAGGCAGAAACATAGCATTTTTAATTTCTACCCTCATGCAACTAGTGACCAAAGAAGCATTCCTACCCTTAGGCCCTCATGAAATCCGAGACATAGGCAAAGAAAGGAAAGAGACTTACTTGTCCTTTGCAAGGTTACACTTGTATACGAAGGGGAGAAAATGGAGAGCTTAAAGAGGTGAGTTTCCAAGTGCGAAAGGGCCGACTTCCAGCTTCTTGATGAAGGGAGAAACCGAGGAAGAGAGTGTTGAAGGTTGCCTCCAATGCTTGAAGGTCTTCTCCGGTTATGTGGTTGGGAATGGTACAAGGTTGATGATGGATTTAAACTTGGAATGATAAGGTATCTTACCTCTCTTGCTAGCGCACAAGAGAGGAGGAGTAGTGAAGTTGTCTAGCTTTTCCTAAATGTCTCCTACAATCAGCGCATGGTGAGGCAATGTAGGGAGCTTTGGTGTTTTTTAAATTGTGAGGGGAGTAGATGGAGTTCACATTTTTCTGATCACAAGAGGAGGGGTCAGCGCAAGGAAAGGAAAAGAAAGGTTAAGTGCATTGCTTTTTCAGATTGCATGCAATCTGATTGGGGCAAGAAAATCTGCTCACAAGGCTTACAAGCAATCAGATTTTGGGTAGTGAGGAGTCAGCTTTGGCAGCCATGCCAGCAAGACCATAGGCGCAAGTTGGAGGCAAATTTTAGACCACAAAAGACATCCATCCAATCAGAATTTTTATGAGACTTAGTATGATTTTTAACTAATTAATTTATGTGGATCAAAGGCTGATTGGGGTTCACTTTTGGGCTGGATTTGCACTGTGTAGAGGGCTGATTATACATTGTTTGGGCCAGATTTTAATGCTTGTTTTCATGACAAGTTTCTAAGGGAATCATGGGCTGAACTTAAAAGATCCATACAAGCTTAGGCCTAAGAGTTTTATTTACAACCACTCCTAATGCTTTCCCAATAAAGTCTCATGGCCGAAGCCCTTTCCTAGTGTCACTTCAATTAACATCTCATGTAGTTTATTAAGTAATACATGGTTATAGCCTTAGCGATTTGCTAACATTACTAGTTATGTTTTATTATCAAGAAGAATTAGCAACCATGACCTAGGAATTTCGCAAAGCCAAACTAGATACCTCACATAGCCATACACATGTATCCTTAATCCCGTTCAAGCAAAAATGCGAATTTTTTTTTTGGTTGTCACAATTGGCAATCCAATCAGATCTACCGAGTACTCACGACCATCCAACTGAAACACGACATCTCGATGTACAGCGGAGGTATCACAATTTTCTCCGGTGGCGGTAGTCACCCGCAACGATGGAGGAAGCACAGAAATGGGCAACTCAAGCCCCACAGTAATCAGGTCACGATGAAAGAATGAATAGCCTCGAAATCAAACAATACATCAACAGCAGAACCACCAATGGAAATAGTACCTCTCACAAGGTTCGGAGGTCTATCCGACTGCTGCCGATCCAAGGTATACACTCGGTCAGTGGCTAGTGGCACAACAAGTGCCCCTGATGGTGGAGTTGGAATCATCTGCAATGGAATTGCTTGAACCGCTGCAGCTCTAGTGTAAGCCGCACCGTTAATTAAGGAATTTAATTAGATAATTATGAAATTAATGAGATAATTCCATAATTGACCTTAATAATTTTGAGAAAGCTTGAATAATTATAGAAAGTAATTAATAATGCTGAAAGTTGCTTTTCTAACGAAAAGTGCAGATACCGATTCTGCTCCACGGTATAAATGTGTACCGATGAAGTATCCCGGAAAATTCAATAAATGCAAGAATATTCCTAGAATAATATATAGGAATGTGATTTCAAGTTTCAAGTCAAAATAATGAGAACTGGTGCCAGAACTGATACTGGTTAAGTAAAAGCGCGTACCAGAAAAGATGCTGCGAAAAATAAAATAAAAATATGAAAAATCCTAGAAAAATGGCTAGGTTCAGAATCTAAAGTTTGAGATTAAAATGCTAAGCGTAGCTATTAATTTTAATACTGTGTGATTACACTTAAGTGGGCCTATAAATAGGCTTGGCTCTAAACCCTAGGCTGATTTAGTTCATTCCTACGTGAGTTTCTGAGTTTCTTCTTCAGCCTTCTGCCTCCTCTTGCCACCTTCACCTTCATTCCCTCTTGTGGCCAAAAGTGTCACATTTCTCCTTAAACTTGCCACTAAAAACACTTATGTGAGTGAGGGCTTGCCTTGGGAGTGTGTAGGAGACCTCATTCTGAGTTTAGTTTCAGAGTTTGTGAGGTTAAGAAGGCTGTGTTTCTGAGTTGGTGGAGTGAAGCCTTGTTCATGTCTTTTGTGGTGCCAAAAAGTGATCTTTTGGTTTAAAGGTCCAAGCTTGTGTTGTATTTTCGTGGCCTTGTGAAGTCAGAACCTTGGTGTTGTGTTGGAGGCTTCTTTTCTGTCCCATTTTCGGAGTTTTGGAGCCTTGAGGTATACCTTGATCATAGCTTTGTCATTTTGATGATTTAAGCTTGTTTAATCGGTTAAAAAGAGAAACTTTAATCATTTGAGTAAAGGACTAAGTTTCTGAGTTCCTAATAAGTTGATGAACATCTATTTAGGGAGTCATTGGACTCCCAATCGCTTTTGGACCCTTAAAAATGGGATTTTGCATATGACAGTTCGTATTTCTGCATTCTGTGGGATAAGTATTTGAATACTTTTAAGGTAGTATTCGAATACTTATCCTCTGGTAGTCGAATACTCCTTGCAAGAGTATTGGGATACTTTTCTGGGAAGAAAAATATTCAGATACCTTTGAAGAAGTATTCGAATACTGGAGAGTATTCGAATACAATGAGTTTTGGTTTTCGGATACTATGGTATTCGGATACTTGGGGTGTTGGTATTCGAATACTTTAGTGAAAGTAGTCGAATACTTTCTGGAGTATTCGAATACTCATTGAGGAGTATTCGAATACCTCCTGCAGAAACAACATGAAATGACTTAAAATGAGTAAGAAAGCCTTAATAACTTAGTGTAATCTTGAACAATGATTATTGATGATTAATTATTGTATAAACAGATTGTGATTGTGCTATTTGTGGGCCTAGAGCTGGTGTGGACTCTTGGCTTGGATAGTTAGCTTGCAAGGTAAGCTTTCGTGTCCTCGGTTTAGCCATTGTGTGGTTCCACCATACCCCATGGGGGGATGGTTTATATGCATGATGTGTTTTTCATGCTTTGATATTTGAAATGTTGTTGAGCTGTTAAGTGAAATTGCTTATAATATGTATGTGTTGTTCCACTTAGACGGTAAGCCTGAGTATGTAGCGTCATACAAGATGGTGATCCCGTGGGTGGGTGCAAGTGGCGTCTTGCACTAATGTGGGTAATAGACATATATAAATCCTGCATTTCTCTGGCCAGTAGAATAGTATTGACACACATAACATGATTATCTGCTGCATTGCACTATTTTTGAAACTGATATGATATATTGTTTTTAGAACTTATATTGCACATGTAAGTGAGCTTGGGGTGGAAGATCCTTGAGGACCCCTTGTCTTACTGAGATTTCTGTTTAGAGATCTCACCCCACGTTTGGGGCGCTTATTACAGGTTCAGGTAACCCAGGGGTTGAGACCTCGGGCGACAGGAGGCCGGAGCTTAGTTGATTGATGTTTACTGCTTATGTTGATTATGCTTGGATGGTGGTTTATGCCTGGTGTTGTTATGCTGTTAGTTTCATTCTATGATTTTTTGAGCTGAGACTATTGGGGGCATTGTTGCCTTATTTGGTGAGCATGGGGATTGTCCATGCCACTCTGTGTTGACTTTGCTGCTTTAAAGTTGAGTTGTATTAATGTATCAGGATTGTGATATGGACTACGTGTTGTAGTTCCGTGATTTTAGAGACTCACAGTTATTTATATATTGAGGTATTTCAGTTAGCTGTCTATTTGCAATTTACATATAGGCGATGTTTTGAAAATGATTAAGTAATCAAGTTGGTAATTGATAATGACGTTATAATTGAAAAGAAAAAGTTATTCCGCATTTTTAATTAAGCGTAGCTTAATACGATGACATGTTAACAAACCAGGTATACACGGGGTGTTACATTTTATGGTATCAAAGTACTTTCTTGGGAAAAGCCTGTATGTATTGCAATAATTAGGATGCCTTGTTGTGTCTTGTCTTGTGTGTTTGCTCTGTTAGGTTTTCCTATGATGATGCATATGTGACCACTTTACGTGGGCCTGATCAACTTATAATTTGTGTAACTTGTGCAGAGTCATTGTAATGCGTAGGAGAACCCGCGAGACTGCTGAGGGTCAACCAGACCCGATTTTGACTGCATTAGCTGAGATGCAGGAGGCCGCTAGATTGGCCAACGTGGCAATGATGGATGCCGTTTGAGAGGCGAACCTGAAGGCCACGGAAGATGTCCTAGAGGCGAATCGGTTGGCGAACATGTCCATGAGGAGGGTCATGTTGGAGGAGATGAGGGTTGGTCCTGCTGTTGGCCAGTATCCTCCGCCACCACCTCCACCGCCACCACCGCCACCGCCTCCACCTAGTCTTCAGGACAAAATTCAGAGTCACATTGATAGTGCTACTCATCTTGCTGGGGTGATGGAACCCTATCATGAGCCTGTTGAGGACCGTGACGTAATTGACTGCCGGCTGAATGCTTTCCGTAAGCATAAGCCACGTTTTTTTATGGGTCTTATGATCCTATTGCTGCTGCAAGATGGCTTAAGGCGTTGGACAAGATCTTCTGAGTAATGCAATGCACCGATCCACAAAAGTTGATGTTTGCGCCGTACATGCTGGAGGGAGATGCTCATGAGTGGTGGACGAACACCTCTCACGCTTATGAGATGCAGGGTCATGTGATGATGTGGCCATTCTTTGAGGAATGTTTCCTTGGCAGATATTTCCCTTATGATGCTCAGGAGAGGAAGTAGGGAGAGTTTGATCACCTGGTGCAAGGCTCGTTATCTGTGGACGAGTATTTGGCTAAGTTCAATGAACTGGCTAAGTTTGCACATTTCTGTATCGCCATGCCTACTCCGATGTTCTTGGCTGCTAAGTTCCGCAAGGGACTTAATGAGGAGATTGCTGATCGCATTGCTGGAGCTGCATCCAGAGATTTCGGCACATTGATTCAGCAGTGTCGGGATATTGAAGACGTCTGCGTCGTAAGTAAGGCCAATAGGGCCAAGGTAGCTGAGGTAAAGGGAACTGGTAGTTCCACTTCCTGGAAAGACAGGAAGTTTGCTGGAAAAGGCAAACGAAAGCAGTTTGCGGCT